AAATAAGGACCTAGAACATCGTTAATTTTAACACAGAAAGAGCTTTGTTTAAGAATTGACAAGTTCCACCTAATCCACTTAGGGCCAAAGCCTCTGGAAGTTAACATTTCCACTAGGAAATCCCAGTTGACACGATCATACGCTTTTTCATAATCTAACTTGAGAACAATCCCACGTTCTCTAGATTTATGAACTTCGTGAATAGCCTCATGAGCAGTCACCACACTTTCGCGTTTAAATCTACCTCTCACAAAAGCAGACTGGCATGGGGCCAACAACCTATGTCCTATAGGGGAAACCCTATTTGTCATGGCTTTGCTAAAAATCTTCACAGAGCAGTTGCTCAAACAAATAGGCCGGAATTTTTTCATATTCTTGGCATCTGGTTCTTTAGGAATGAGAGTGACTATAGAGTAATTTAACCTCTGGATATCCAGAGACCCTCTCTCAAAATCCCTCACAAGTGCCATAAAGTCTCCTTTAATTATTTTCCAAAAATGTTGGTAAAATATAAAGGACAAACCATCAGGCCAGGGGCACCATTGGCATATGAGCCCATAATGGCTTCCTTAATTTCTTCTTCTGAAAAAGGCCTTTCTAATATCTCATTCTCAGCTACAGTCACTCGTTCTTCTTTAGACCAAAAATGGAAGAACGTTAGGAAAGGGAAGATGTCAAGCAGGGAAATTTTGGTACATGCCTTATGATTCACAACAGTAGTTTTGTTGAAGTCCATTTTGGGCTAGTTTCGGTGAAGTCTAAGAGCAACTCTTGCGGATTCCATATTCCCATCCGAAATCTCCGTAAAAAAAACTGCAGAGTTAAAGAGTTTTGGCCTTGAAACTCACTCTTGGGGATTCTTCGGATGCCAATAGCCAGCTACCGTTTGCTAGGAGGGGTGGCATTTGCGAAAGTTTTTGCTGGCAGTTTCTTCTGAACGGTATGGCAATTTCTTTAGAGAAAGTTATTTTCTTCTAAACATTGTCACCGTTTGATCTCGTGTCGCAACTCAAACTGCCAGCAAAAAGCATTTGTTTTCCATTTCCCTCGCAGCCAAGTGACATACTCCTTCCATCCCATAATATAAGAGTGTTTTTTACACTATCTAGTGTCAAAACCGCTCTAGTGTCAAAAACGCTCTAATATTATGGGACGGAGGGAGTAATCTAAAAAGAAAAAGGAAAAGACTGAAGAAGAAAATTACACGGATCTTAATGTAAGATCTTACGAATATAGCATCGATTGGGCCTTAAAAAGTCTCAGTCGACTGAGATTTAGCAAGTTTGATCGCCCTCAACTACCTCCTGGCATTTTGGCACTTTACAAAATATAAGGCTCACTAGAGCTCGTGCACCAAATTGACCTTTTGAACCATATTCTTCTATCTCCACAAGTGAATGAAACTCACGATGGGAATATGCCAACGGTACCATTGGGACATTGGTCCGGCCCATAATTTCATGGTCGATGGGTCTTTTCGGACGACTTCATTAAAAATTGGGCCAGAGGAGCCCGCCACCAGCGGCATACCCGGACAAAAGGTTCAACCCCAATTCAGGTGCCTAACGTTATAGTCTGCCGTTACAATGCACATGCCTTTGCAAGGTTGTTACCCATGTGCTTATATAAAAACTTCAAACTATTGACCAAGACTATTTTTGTTTCAAAGTTGCAAATATGCTACCTTATGATGGGAACGATTCATGGTTGATATAGAAACGGAGGGGCATATTCTTTGAACATGTAAATTCTAAATATCTTAGCTTACTAAAAATCCCAACAGCCAAATGATGCTAGAAATAATGTTGTTTTTTAATGCTACTTATTCTTCTTTTTTTTGAGACATTGCTACTTATTCTTGTGTATTTTTTTAGACAATTATTCTTGTGTATTAAAATGGGTCCAGTTGGATGGACTATTGGGCCGGTTCCAATGCTCCATGATCCCTCAAGAGAATAGAGAGGCCAGTCCGGCCCATTCCCATCCTAAAATAAAACCAAGAGCGCCGTGCAAGTGCTGCCTACGTTTTGGTCAAAGAAAATAAAGTGCTGCCTACGCTACTCTGGGCTGCACCGCAGTTATCGCACTGATCTAGAGTTACTGTTGAACACTCCGCCTGCTGGCCAAGTGTTGCGGCAGAGCTGCAACCTGTTGGCCATGCATGCATGCCACCATGTCGTTCGTTCGTTCGTGCATTTTCCACGGCACATCAGGGTGCCACTACCAGTTCTCCTCCGAAGTTAGTTGGCAACTACCCTGAATGAAGCTCCTAGACCGTCCGTGGCCATCAGCTGTGCCTTTGGCGCTTCCCATGTGACCAAAAACTTTGCTACTGCTCCCTTTCTGGCGTCATGCAGATGCGGCGATAAGTTTTTGTTTTGTCCAACAGAATGTTACTACTAGCCAGTAGTAGTGGTTTGAGAACGGAACTTGCTAAAAAATGCTAGCCGTCCAACTGATGAAGTCAACACATTTGCTATTTTTCTTTTAAAGAGAACATTCGATATATTTATCAATTGTCAAGGTAGCACAGAGAACATCAGAAGAAACATATTGTATCCACCCCTCCTGCACAGTCGAAAAGTAGCTTCATATTTTTTCGCTTCATGAAGCTAATTCGATGAAGAAACTGTGGTACACAAGTTAGATAGGAGTACATACGAGGGGATGACCACTGGATCAGAATGACACCTCAATTACGAACGATCTACACTACTTACTCTCTTCGTCTTTCATTTCAGCTCATCAAAGTCAGCGCTAGATGCCATGTACGGACACAGAAACAAAGTCAACTAACACTTGTCGAGTTACATGCATCAACATCACGGTCTAATTAATTCAGGATGCCATGCACCACTTGGATTTCTTATGAACCAAGCAAGCATTTCCGGCCAGGTTCACAGGTCACTCGTGCAGGGTTGGAGACGGCGGTTGGAGCTTGGCGTCGAGCACCTCGGAGCAGACGTTGCCCATGGCGCGGTAGAAGGCGGCGAGGCTGGCGAGCTGGGCTACCGACATCTTCGCCATGAGGGCCCGCGCCGCCGCCTCCCGCTCGTCGCTCACCTTGAGCCTGTTCATGTACCCCGACGCGTTCCGCACCGTCGCGCCCATCTGCTTCAGCCGCTTCTCCTGCTGCACACTCAGCGCCGTGTTGGACGCCAGGAGCTCCTCGCCGGCGTCAAGGTCCCCGTTCCGGTGCTCCGCCGGAAGCTGCGCTACGGTGTTGTTGCCGAACACGTACATGTTCTTGGCGAGCGAGACGCTCCGCCCAATTACTTTGCGCTGCTTCTCCACTTCCTGGTTCAGTTTGGGCGACGTGGTGACCGCGCTCCGGACGTGCACGTGCGTGGCGGCAAGCTTCCCCTGGTATGCCACCACCGCGCGGACGAACTCCTGGTAGGCCTTGGCGCAGCCGGGGAAGTCGAACTCGTCGGAGCCCTCCTTGCGCATGCGCTCCGGGTGGAACTGGAGCCCCATGATGAACTTGCCCTCGCCGGGGTTGTACACCTCAGGGTCGTAGAACCCTTCGATCAGGCCGTCGGGCGCATGCGCCATCGGCACGAACCGCTCGGCAAGCCGCCGCACGCCCTGGTGGTGGTAGCTGTTCACCATCAGCTGGTCGCCGTCGAGCAGCGACTCCGCGAACCAGTCGTACAGCGGCGTGCCGGGCAGCACGCGCACAGGGTGCCGATGCCCGTCGTAGTTGGCGTAGTCCATGTGGCAGACGGCATCGTCGGCCGCGGGGTGGAGCTCGTGCTCGACGTCCTGGTAGAGCGAGCCGCCGCAGGCGACGTTGAGCACCTGCGAGCCGCGGCAGATGCCGAGGAACGGGACGTTGCGCTCGAGGCAGCGGCGCGCGAGGAGGAGCTCGATGGAGTCCTTCTCGTGGTCCAGGGCAGCGTCGCTCGGGTGGAGGCGCCGCACGGCCTCGAGCTGCTCCTGGGAGAGCGCGTCGCCGTCGCCGTCGTCGCCGCCGGCGTCGTAGAGGGAGGGGTCGATGTCCTCGCCCTCGCAGAGTAGCACGCCGTGGATGGGCTCGAAGGAGTCGAGCATGGCGTGCAGGCCGGCGACCCGCGGCACGATGACCGGCACCGCGCCGTAGCCCACAACCAGGTCCAGGTGGTACTCCCCTGCATCCATCAATGGAAACGTCAGAAATTGCAGCATTCTTCCAACGAAGCCAACACCTTTCCGGCATGGATAAAGTGATGAAACAAGAAACTCACCGACGAAGTCGACGAACTTGTTCTTGCGGACGGTGCGGCGGGAGACGATGAGCACGCGGGGGAGGATCCGGGAGGACAGATCAGGGGAGGGACACATGGCTAGCTACCTCTTGCCTCGGAATTCTCAACCAGAAGGTTGGAGATCAATGGTCGGTCGGTGATCTTGTTGGTTTTCTTGGATTTGTGTGGGGAAGATGTATCTGGATCGACGTATTTATAGAAGGCAATCGGGGGCGGTAGCTGATGCAGCAATCTTATCACGAAATCATCCTGGCTCTGAGTAAAAATTGATTTAGTGCCAAAACTGGAGCGTATTACCATGCGCGCCAGGAGGAGGAAACTTGCGCCCACGTCATTAACGACGTCTGTGTGCAGTGCAACACCGTCTAGCCGCCGCGTGCAGACACCACAGGTCAAAGGGACCAATTGTGGTGTTGCTACGTACACCCAAAAGTAAGTTTTTCTTTTTCTTTTTGAAATATACTCTAGCTGGTCAGCATTGGTCATTGACGCATATCCAGCACTCCAGTACAGGATATGCTACGGATTGCTCTAATCTCTTCAGTCTTCATCCCACAATGACAAATCACACTAATTTAAAATGCCAGAAAGCCATGTCAACTTTGGGCTCTATTTGGTTTAGATGAACTTTAAGTTTGTGTTCGTGTTGCTCCAGTGCTTATAGTCGTTGTCAGGTATTCTATGGATCTGGATATAATTTTTGTTGCTTATGATATTTTTTGTACTGTCATGACAAATGATGAATAGATTGAAAGTTTTTCCGGAAGAAAAAAAAAACAATTACAGCTCGCACCAACCTCTACTCAGCCCCCATCATCTATCAAGTTTAAACAATGGCTACGTTTCCAAAATTGTGATAGTTAAATAGATAATCATCAATGAATTGCAATGGGCTATAAAAATTCTAATATGCTAGCCCATTATTTACCTTCCCATATTAATATGATTATGTAAATAAGTGCTTACAAATAAATTTCTGCATGTGATTTACCTGCCAAAAATAAGTTTTAGGATTTTATTTGGTAAGCACTTATTGGCTTACCAAAGGAAAACATGATAAGTCAATAGACTGTGTGGCAATTAAGTCAATTTTTAGAAAAAAAATAATTGTTGAAAAAACCAGATATATGAGCAAAAAAATCAACATGAAGAAAAGGAGGAGAAGTACCTAAGGTTGAATGAAGGATAATGTGGACGAAAAAATGCTACTCCCTCCGATCCATATTATTGTTCCTCAAATGAATGTTATTCCCTCCGTTCCTTTATATAAGATGTATATGTTACGTCTCAAAAAAAAGGTGCACTCCCTCATTCCATCTATATTGGGCCTAATGCGTTTTTCAAGACCGCCTTTGACTATTGATAAAATTAATACTACATGACATGCATAATGTGAAAATTATATCATTGAAAGCTCCTTTCACATACGAATTTGATGATGTGCTTTGCGTAAGTTGCATGTCATATATTATTGCTCTAACATTTGGTCAAAGTTAGCCTCGAAAAACGCATTAGGCCCTATATAGATGGAAGGAGGGAGTATATGTTTTTTATAAGATTCCACAATGTAAGGTGCATTAATTTCTTCTAATTTCTCATAATCCCTTTTTAGCCCTCCAAAATAAAGGAAAGGATCTCTCTTCTGATTGCATGTATCTCTTTTTCTAGAAAAAGAAGGGACGTATCTCTGCCCTGATTGTCAGTATCTCTTCATCGCATAGCTTAACTGATTTACTTGCCACTAACCAACAAACTTGCCAAGCGTAATTTCGTCCTCAATTATCAATAATTTGTTGCCTTGGTCACTGAGCCTAAAAACTATACCTTACATAAAGGAACAGGGGGAGTATTTTTAGTACTTATAAGTAGAGGAGTTAAATGAAATTGGGCACATGCTCATAATAAATTGTACAAGATGCATGTGTTTTTACTTGTTTAATGATTTCCAAGTTAGAGAAAATTGAAAATGTCCTTCCTTTGGAATATTTGAGATATTTACTATCCTTTTCTGATAGAGCAAAATAGTCATGCATGCATGGTCTCTGCCAATATATAACAATTTCTTTTCTAACAAATATGGTACGTACGTGGCAACTTGCGCTTGTTCGAACCTTATTATCGACCCATTAGAAGCAACCCTTAATTCGTGAGAAATCGCCATGCTGTTTTGGTGACCATTCGTCTTTTTCACTTTTGTTTTGGCAATAAGACATGAACTTGTTCAGACGTGGCATTTTTGCTTCAAGAATCTAGCATGACTGACGTAATCTTAGAGGCATGTGCCTCTTGCTTCGCCACATGATTTTGACAAATTAGCCATGTAATTTAAATGGGTTTAATATGATAAATTTTGTGAGTAGTGAGAGCAGATGCGTACGTGTTTGGTCGTTATCCTGGGCAGGCCGATGACACGCAGTTGATGTGTACGCCCAGCGGCCAGCGTGCGTGCTCGTCCTCGTGGTAAACGTGGAACAGGTCAGATGTTTAGCCAGCTCGACCGTCTAACTGGCATGCAGGTCAAAGCTGCCGTTGTGCTACTAGCTAAGTTAGTTGAGAAAATTCCTTATTTAACATTGTCTTAAAATTTGGTTTCTTATTTGCATTGGAAAAAAAATTCTTCCCTATTTGACACTAGTCCTAAATTTTATTCCCTATACGACACTTTCGTCCATTTTGAGCCTAAATGACACCTGGAAAGACAATTTTGCCCCCATGCGGTATGTGTGTGCGCGCGTGTGTGCTGTTGCGTGTGTGGGTGCACGCGCACATGTGTGCTGCTGCTGCATGTGTGTGTGCATGTGTGCCGTTGCGTGTGTGTTTGCTACTGCGTGTGTACGTGCGTGTGTGTTGTTGCGTGCCTATGTGCTGCCTGCGTGTGTGCTGCTGCTGCGTGTGTGTGTATGTGTGTGTGTTGCGTGCGTGTGTGTGCGCGTGCAGGTGTGTTGCTGCGTGTGTG